CTTCATTCCTTAGGGTCTCAGTTTCATTTGTAAAATGTGAGTCTTTGCAACTGCCTCATAGGGCCACGTGAGCTGTAAACACTGGATTGACCAAAAAGTTCACTTGGGCTTTTCTGTACCATCTTACGGAAAAGCCCGAACAAACTTTTTGGCCAACCCAGTATTACAATGCATTCGACATAGCATGTGTACACGTGAACGCTCCAAAATGGTAGCCATCATCACTACCATGACTATTTCAACACACTGCCTTGTCCGAAAGGCATTTACACTCATGTGTTTTCCAACTTTCTAGAGCAGCGGTTCTCAAACTCTGGAGCATACCAAAATCATTTAAAATAAAGCTACACAGGTCACAGCACAGACCTACAAAATAGAATCCTCACCAAGCAAGGGAGAGAGTGGCGGTTGGGCAACTCCACTTTTTTTTAGAACTTTTTTATGTTATTTTTTATTTATTTTAAAATTAATTTTTATTAGAGTATAGTTGCTTTACAATATGCTAGTTTCTACAGCAAAGTGCATCTGCTATACATATAGCCCCTCTTTTTTGGTTTTCCTTTCCATTTAGGTCACCACAGAGCACTGATTACAGTTCCCTGGGCTATATAGTTGGTTCTCATTAATTACCTATTTTATACATATGGGCAACTACACTTTTAACAAACCTCCCCACCCCACTGCAAGTGATTCCAGGTGCTCACCAAACCTGGAAAATTCTGCTGGACAATACTGATTCCTAAAAGACTTACCACAGAACCTTGAGGTTCCAAAGAGATACTTCCAGATCAGTGGTTCCCAGCCTTGGCTGGATTGACATTATATAGATATCCGAGCATAACTCTCTGAGATCCAGATGTTCATCTGGGATGTAACCAGGATGTCAAGACTTCTAAAAGATAGGCAAAGGATTCTTATGGTCAACAGAGGTTGAAAACCATTGCTGCATTTGGATCTAGGCCCTGGATTTCTACAGCAGTGCCTCTGAGGCTTCAACCAGAGCAGCTCAGCTTTTGTCTGTGTGACAAACGGAGCCTCTACCTAAGACTGATTTTGCAGACAGGATTCTTACGCTTCAAAAAATAGTGAAGTTTGGTATGGCAGAAACCAACATGCCATTGTAACACAATTATCCTCCAATTAAAAATAAACTTAAAAAAAAAAGTTTGGAGTCTGTCATACAGAGGGAGAAAAACAAGTATCATATATTAATGCATATATATGGAGTTTCGAAAAATGGTACAGATGAACCTATTCACAGGGGAGGAATGGAGAGGCAGCTGTAGAGACTGGACTTGAGGACACAGCGGGGGAAGGAGAAGGTGAGACGAACTGAGACAGTAGCACTGACCACGTGTAAAACAGAGAGCAAGTGGGAAGCAACTGTGTAACACGGAGAACTCAGCTCAGTGATCTGAGATGACCTAGAGGGGTGAGATGGGGTGGGGGGGTTCAAGGAGGGAATATATGTATACTTACAGCTGACTCACATCATTATACAGCAGAAATAAACACAATAGTGTAAAGAAATTATTCTCCAATTAAAAAAAATTTTTTTTTAAGAATACAAAAAAAAAGTTAGGTTTGCAAGCAGCTGCTCTAACTGTCAGTAAGAACCTGGAGCATCCCTAACCTGGTTTTTAAATCTTTGTGTCTGTCTGGGGCCTTACAACATATTAGATGCTTAATAAATATTTGTTAGAAGGTTGTATCATTTTGTTTAATTTGTTAGCTGGCTCCAGTTAGGTTTTCAGTCGGCTAGCATAACAACCTAACAGTTTCTTAAACATCTAAACCCCCAATGGCCTTTGCTTCAAACCTTGAAACTGAAACAGAGAGTGAGGCAGACAGCCATCCAGAGAACACACTGACATCTCTTCTGGGGTCACATATGCTATGCAAGTTCCTAATGACTAATAAATATAAGCAAATGTGATTTTCGTCAGCTAGGAAGAGCTCGACATTTGTCAGCAGTATGGGTCTTCCAGGCTAATATTTGGATTGTTTCATCTTAAACTGTCAAATTACAAAAGCATGATAGAAACTTGTAGGAACTTCATAGTAAACAGTAATTGGCCCGTTGTCAATAAGTTAGAAGAAGAAAAAAAAAAATCCTGCTGCCAAAACGCATAGGCTGGAATGCTTGCAGCCCAGGCCTGCAGCCAACTGGAGCCTGTTCCCCAGGCAGCTCTCCTGGGTTCTCAACCACAGAGGCTGGAAGAGAAGTCCCTAGTACTCCAGGGATCTGGGAGTCAGTAGCACCTTCAAATCTCAGCTTTCTCATGGATCTAGGAATCTGAGCAATCACTTAAACCTCTTCGGGCCTTAGATCCTCATGTGTAACAACACTTCATCACGTCCTTAGAGCCAGGACTGCCTGAGTTCCAATCCTGACTCTTCACAGGATAGCTGTGTGACCTTGGGCAGGTTATTCCCCTTCTCTGGGTCTCTGGGCCTCACCTCTAAAATGAGGATGATATTAGTACCTATCTTATAGGGTTGTCCGTGTAAAGAGACAAGAACAGTGGCTGGTACAGAACAGGCATTCCATAAGCTGTTATAAATCTGAAATTTTGAAACCAAGCATTTGGAAAACCAACTTTTTGTCTTTCTTTTGCTTTTTGCATTTTTCTGTTTGGTACCAAAACTCATTGGGCAGCAAGCCTCACCTTAACTGACATAAGGCTTTCTATGGTCTTTTTTTCTTTCCCAGCTGATGTGAAAATTTGTAGGTTTCACTGCAACAATAGTAATGTGTTTGCTGATGGGGTGCTGCCCCATGCCATGGAAGGAATGCCATTAACACGTGAAATATGCCCTGAATCACCTTGATAAACCCTGAACAGTTCTGAATTCTAAAATGCACTGCCATAAGCATTTTAGATAAGGGACTGGAGAGCTATGTTATTATGGGGTTGTGGTCAGGATGAAGACAGATAACACATACCAAATCCTTGGCTTTAGAAGCAGCAGCCTCTCAGTCCCAGAGTGATACTGGGGGGTCCTCAGGTCTATACGCAGGAACAGAGAAAGAAGGAAGCACCTTCACCCAGGTGATCTCCTCTTTTACTCTCCCACTGACAGGCCAGCCAGGCCTCCAAAAGCTCCCTTCTATCAGCTCAAATTTGGTTTATCAATTCAGGATTCAGCCAAAGCACCTTTTCTGTGAAATGGCCCTTTTTCTCCAAAATCCTAACAACCAGGTCAAGAAAGACCTGTGCAGGCAAGGGTGGATGGGTTGTAACTCCTCTCTATTTCCAGGTGGCTGGCAGCTGAGGACGACTCAGGCAGTGTTAACCACAGTGGGGAAGGGTGGCCATCGATGCTAATGTCTGACTGCAAGTGACAAGAGAGGCCAGGCAGCCCATCTTATACACTTGCACCCTGCCTAAACTGGGCATTAATTTGGCTTAATGACTAAACTAAGTATTTCTTAAGCATAGTGGGGATCCCCAGGTGGCTCAGATGGTGAAGAATCTGCCTGCAACGTAGGAGATTCAGGTTCAATCCCTGGATCAGGAAATGCTACCCACTCCAGTATTCTTGCCTGGAGAATATCATGGACAGAGGAGCCTGACAGGCTATACAGTCCATGGGGTTGAAAAGAGTCTGACACAACTGAATGACAAAGATTTTCACTTTCTTTAAGCACAGTGTGCATAGCTTATACTTACTGTTCTTCCTGTAAATGTTTGCTCTTTATTGCTTTCATTCTCTGACAGAGGACGAGATGGTGGGATGGCATCACTGACTCAGTGGACATGAGTTTTAACAAACTCCAGGAGATAGTAAAGGACAGGGAAGTCTGGTGTGCTATTGTTCATGGGGTCACAAAGAGTCGGAAAGGACTACACAACTGAACAACAAATTGCTTTCACATGAATATTCTCTCAGAATTTATCATGAACCTTGGGTGCCCAACAAATTGGGCAGAATGAATACTGAATAATATGTGAATGTTGGTTGATTAATTCACTAACAGGTTTTTCTCAGTATCTGTATTCCTACTTTTCCATGGGCACTGCCTATTTTGGCTTATTTATGCTAGCCTAGCCACCTAAGGCTTTGGAGAGTTATACAACTATTCTGATACCACTATGCCATTTCTGGAGTTTACATTTTGTTGACTCTAAAAAACATATAGATCTAATTAATTAGACATATTCTCACAGTTGTGAGTTCACTCAAAATACTTTGGAGAAACTTTCTAGAAAAATTCATAGAATCCTGAAACCTATAGGCTGGGAGCAAGTTAGACTCCAGACACCCAACCTGTTCAGGGATTCCAAACTCACTGTCAGCCCTTGGCTTTAAAAAGCCCCTTGTTTTGTGTTCTCAGCTCAAATCCACACAGCTTGCAGCCAGGATTCTCCCTTTTCCCCAACACTAGAGGAGTACTTGGAGAAGGCAATGGCACCCACTCCAGTCCTCTTGCCTGGAAAGTCCCATGGATGGAGGAGCCTGGTAGGCTGCAGTCCATGGAGTCGCTAAGAGTTGGACACGACTGAACGACTTCACTTTCACTTTTCACTTTCATGCATTGGAGAACGAAATGGCAACCCACTCAGTGTTCTTGCCTGGAGAATCCCAGGGACGGGGGAGACTGGTGGGCTGCCGTCTATGGGGTCGCACAGAGTCGGACACGACTGAAGCGACTTAGCAGCAGGGGAGTACTAGGAAGGAGGTCTCCCCGCTCCAGATAGTTCTTTCAGTCCTCCGCAGGGCCTCCCTGAAGTTGAGCCTAAGGACATTCTTAAGCTCAGCGTCACTTTGAAGACTATTCAGAATCACAGAGGGGGTGGGAGTGGCCTCAACGCTTTAAAAGGCGGCAAAATAAATCAAAGGATGGAAGGAGACCCGTGGAACCAAGAATTCCTCCCCACCTGGCAGAAGCAAAGCTTTAACCGCGCGATCTAGGATGAAGAGTGGCGAGCGCGGCACATCCCAGCAGGTACAAGGACTATAGAGGGAGGGCGCGCGGGGGTCGGGAGGGCAGGTACCTTCTCTCCGCCGTGGGTTCGCGGCCCCGGGCCTGCGGGTGCCGGCTGCCTCGCAGCGCCGGGCCCTGGCGACTGGAGTTGAGGCCNGATCCTGGCTTTGGGGACCATGCCCTTGGCGAGCGCAGTGCACTGCTCGCACATCTTAACTGAGGCTTACCCCTCAGGTCCTTGGGGTCCAGGCTAGAAGGACAGAGCTTCCCTCAAGTCGGTGAGGAGGCCATGGCCCAGTGTCTCCATGCAGTAAAGGCAACGCGGTATGAGGGTTTAGAGGCCCTGTTCCAGAAGCAGATGCCCCTATCACACCCCTGCCACTTCTACCAGGGCGACCAGAAAGTTTCTGAAGCTCTCTGCATCCTAAAGAGGATGGTACCTACCTACCTCACAAGGCTCTAAGATTTAAGTTAGGATATCTAACACACACAGCAGAGAACAGGCACTAAATATGAGCTTAGTAAAACCATAATGATCATCTTTCCTGCTTCCATGGTGAATCAGGAGAGATTAAAAATGTCAGAAAGTTAAAGTTCTATCCTGAAGGTGATTCGACATTCCCATGCATTTAACTGGCCCTTTCACAGAGAGCTATCATGCCAAGCAGAGTGCTAAGCATAGGTACCCTGTGTTCTTTCACAATGCAGACAGGCCCTGAGTACTAGCTCTATACCAGTGTTGAGCTAGGACCTGAGAACAAGGAGAGATGCACCCCAGGTTGCACAAATGGACTGGACCCAGCAGCAGAGAGCTTTATGTAGCTCAGACAAGGCTAGGGGAGTCTTCCGGGGAACTGGCTGCCTGCCTGGGTAGGGTATGGGTTGAGAAGTCCTCAGAGGAGGAATGATGGTAAAATAGCTGTAATTATTCTGGTATCCAGTTGGTGCTAGTTAGCACATGTAATTTCTAGTCCTCTCAGCAGCCCTGGTTACAAACATTCTCACCTTTCAGAGGTGAAGTTTCCCACCCACGGATTGGAGACCTGTGACCTGCCTCAGTCATGTGGTCGCAGCAGAGTTTGGACACGAGTCTCCTCAGCCCCCACTCTAGGCAGTTCTAGCACTGCCTGCTCTCTCTCAGCAGACTGCTCTTGAGCTTCTGGATCATTCCCTGGAATGTCCTTCCTAACCTTGGGACACTGAGCAACACGATGTGAAAGTCACTCAGTCGTGTCCGACTCTGCAACCCCGTGGTCTGACTATACAGTCCATGGAATTCTCCAGACCACAATACTGGAGTGGTTAGCCATTCCATTCTCTAGGGATCTACCCAACCCAGGGATTGAACCCAGGTCTCCCGCATTGCGGGTGGATTCTTTACCAGCTGAGCCACAAGGGAAGTCCAAGAATACTGGAGTGGGGAGCCTATCCGTTCTCCAGCAGATCTTCCAAACCCAGGAATTGAACCGGGGTCTCCTGGAGAAGGCAATGGCAACCGACTCCAGTACTCTTGCCTGGAAAAGCCCATGGACTGAGGAGCCTGGTAGGCTGCAGTCCACGGGGTCGCTAAGAGTCGGACACGACTGAGTGGCTGAGAACTGCCACTGTCACTCAACTGCATTCCAGGGCACAGAGGGGTCTCTGGATGACCTTGAGAGTTTAAACTGGGTCCCTGAAGGTTCAGAGAGTGACTAAGCCAGGATCAGTGAGAGGGCTGAGCAGCTCAGCAAAGAACCCTCTAATCAGAGGTTCAAGCCCAGAGCTGGATGTCAGTCTGCCAGTCTACGGGCACCATGTTCAGAGAGCTGCGGTGAGAGGTCAGAGGTCATGTGGCTGCAGCCAGCAGGAGACATGGTTGGAGCAAGGTCAGGACAGAAGGTTATGTGACTGAAAGGCTGCAGTTTCCTCATCACCAGATGTGAATGGAAGACGGGGATGGCCACACGAGTGGCAAATACAGTCAACTCATCACTCCTAAACTGGGGACCCGGGAGAGAAGGCTTTTTTCTTATTTGTAAATACAAAACACAGCAAACAAAAAACAAGCTTTTGTTCTTTCTTCTCCTCCCTGACATATCCTGATTTATTAATAAACTGATGATGGATTCACTGGGTGGTTACAAAAAAAAAGTGTCAAATCAGGTTGCAGTCTTGATATATAAAGTAATCCTTAGAGTGTGTGGGGTGGTTTGAATGGTGGCTTTCCCCAAAAGATATGTCCATGCTCTAACCCTGAGAACTTGTAAATGTGAACTTATTTGGAAAAAGGGTCAATGTCAATGTGATTAAGGATCTTGAGATGAGATCATCCTCTTCTGGGGGATGGAGGGGGCCCTAAATCCAATAACAAGTGTCCTTAGAAGACAGAGGAGAAGGCCACGTGACCATAGAAGCAGAGGCTGGCTTGAGCAGCCACAGGCCAGGAGCTGAAAGAAGTATACCACAAGCTGAAAGAAGTAAGGAGAATTCACCCCTAGCTACTAGAAGAAGCACAGCCCTGAAAATACCTTGAGTTTGAATGTCTGGCCTCCAGAATTGTGAGGGAATAAATTTCGGTTGCTTTAAGCCATTAAGTTTGTAGTTATTCATTACAACAGCCATAGGAAATTAACACAGTCTGCTGGTCCTTCCAGGACAAGGAAGAAAAGCATACAGACATTTGTCGGGCTCCTTCTCTGCACTGAGCACTGTGCAGACAGCTCACAGGCATGGGGGTGGGCTGTATGGTATTGGCACCACTAACCCCAGGTCACACTTTACAGGGCCCCTGAGCCCCTCTGGGAGATTGATTATTTTGTCCCTTTTACAGGAAGAAACTGGGGCTCAGAGAAGCTGTATGACTTACCCATAGTGTCCGGCTAGTGAGGGGCACAGACAGGACTAAAACTGAGGTCTCCTGACTCCTATCTGGGCTCCCCTGGTGGCTGAGTGGTAAAGAATCCATCTATCGATGCAGAAGACTCTCAGGTTCAACCCCTGGGTTGGGAAGATACCTTGGAGGAGGGCATGGCAACAGACCCCAGTATTCTTGCCTGGAAAATTCCACGAATAGGGGAGCCTGGCAGGCTACGGTCCATGGGGTCACAAAGAGTTAGACATGCCTGAGCAGCTGAGGCACACACATGACTCCTAGTCCAGCACTTTCTTTTTCATGCAGCATGCTGCCTCCCTGCCTGTGTTGTTCATGGAAAACAGAAGAGTAAAATGAATAGAAATAAATCCTCTTTGATAGTCCTAGTAGGAGGATAATTGGGGTGATCAAACAGAGGAAGTATATTTCTGGCACATTTGGGGACTTCAGTTACCCATCACTTCCTGATTTCTCGTGAACACAGATAACTGAGGCATTGTCTTTAATATCTAGCTTAGACATGCAGCTAAAAATCCACTTCCTAGAACGAATCCCACCCTTAACTTAGTTTCCTATGGCCAAACTGGGCAGGGTCCCTGGGGAAAGAAAACACGAAACCACATTCCATCCTCTTCTATTCATAAGAATTCTCTAATTTATAAAGTTGAATTATGGTGAGTGACTTGAAATTCCATCTCAGTCCCCATGGTGAGAATCCGACCACAAGCTCCAGAATTGTATTTTCATAGTACACAGCCAGAAACAAACGGGGAAACAGAGAAACAGAAAGGAAAGAAGGAGGGGAAATGCAGAGAAAGAAAGAAATCTCAAAGGAAAAAATAAAGGGAGGAGAGCTTTGGATATCAGCCTCCTAGTTCCATCAGCCTCCCATCCGCCCTCTACTCCTTCCCAGTCCTCCTGACGACCCTCCTCCCTCCTTCTTTTCTGATGGTCAAGGAGTTTTCTATGAGACAGGATGGGAAAAATTCCAAGTCTTCTCAGACACACTATTCCTAAAATTAGGACTAACTCACAGGACCTTGGTTAGTCAGTGATAAACAGCTAAACCAAAGAATAAATCATAGTGAGAGAAAAAAACAAATAATAGAAGCTCAAAGCCCTGTCAACTGCTAGCCCATTGTTTTAACAAATCGGTAAGAATAAAGATGAACAACCCAACGGAAGTAGGTTCAAAGGGCATGAATGGGTAGTTTACAGTCATTTCATAAGTTCATGTCTTAAAGCCCTAACCCCAATGTGATGGTATTTGGACATGGCACCTTTGGGAGTTAATTAGGTTTCAATGATGTCATATGATGGGACATCTCCCCTCATGGGATGGTTGTTGTTCATGTCCTACTCTTTGCGACCTCATGGTCATATACCAAGCTTGCAGCACACCAAGCTTCCCTGTCCTTCACTATCTCCCAGAGTTTGCTCAAACTCATGTCCATTGGGTCAGTGATACCATCCAACAATCTCATTCTCTATCACCCCCTTTTCCTCCTGTCCTCAATCTTTCCCAGCATCAAGGTCTTTTCCAATGAATCCACTCTTCACATCAGGTAGCCAAAGGACTGGAGCTTCAGCTTCAGCATCAGTCCTTCCAATGAATGTTCAGTGTTGATTTCCTTTAGGATTAACTGGATTAGTATCCTTATCAGAAGAGGAAGAAAGACCAGTACTTTCTGTCTTTCTCTCTACCATCTAAGGATATAGTGAGAAGCCAGCTGTCGTCAAGCCAGGGAAAGAGTCCCCACTGGGGCATCAAATCTGCCAGTGCCATGATCGTGGACTTTCCCCAGCATCCAGAACCATGATAAATAAATTCCTGTTGTTTAAGCCACCATGTCAATGACATTTAGTTTTAGCAGCCCAAGCTGACTAGTATAGCAGAAAAATACAACATATATGTGAAAACTGTATAATGTTCCATGTAATCAAATAAATGCAAACTAAAACAACAGAATTCCACTTACCCCCATCAGATTGGCAAAGATTATAAAGTTTGACAATATCAATACGGAAAGAATGTTCACTGTTGATGGGAGTCTAAACTGGGGCAGTTCTTAATAGGGAACTTTGCAGTACCTACCAAATTTTAAATGCACAAACCCTTGAGCCCAGCAGCTCTACTTTCAGTAGTTCACCCTTTAGATACATTCAAAATTAATGCATAAAGTTATATATAGAAAAACTTTTATAGCCATACTTTTCGTAAGAACAAAACCAAAAAATCTGGAAACAACCTGAATATCTATGAAAAGGAGCTTGGTTAAATCCTCCCAAATCTAATCCATTCAAGCAATGGAATACAACTAATCTGTTAGAATGAGGTAGATATATATATCTGTTAAATTGGACAACTCTCCGTAATATATTAATTAGTAAAAAAAACAACAAGAAGTAGACCAGTATGTAGAAAATAAACCTATTTATAGATTTCATCACTGTTGTTGTTGTTGTTGTTAGGTTGCTAAGTCATGTCTGACTCTTTTATGACCCCATGGACTGTAGCCCACCAGGCTCCTCTGGACTGTAGCCCACCAAGCTCCTCTGACCACGGGATTCTCCAGGCAAGAATATTGGAGTGGGTTGCCATGCCCTCCTCCAGGGGATCTTCCCAACCCAGGGACTGAATCCACATCTCTTATTTCCCCTGCATTGGCAGACGGGTTCTTTACCACTAGCACCACCTGTGAAGCCATAACATTTATATTATACAACTATTTACACATCATTTACATTGTATGAGGTATTATAAGTAATCCAGAGATTATTTAAAGTTTCTGGGAAGAGGCACATAGGTTATACACAATACCATACCATCTTATATAAATAAGAGACTTGAGCATCTGCAGACTTTGGTATCCTTGGGGGTCCTGGAACCCACATTTCTCATATCCAAGGACTGACTATAATGTAGATCTGACAGTGTCATTGGGTAATGAAATAAAAGAATGAAGTATAGCCACAAACATGCTAGAAGTCACCAAGCAGGAGCATAGAAGAGCTCCATTTTGTCCCTCCACTGGAAGAACTTAAATCATTCGACACAAGTTTTATAATGTGTAAGAAGCAGATCCAGCTGTCAAATCAAACTGATGCTCTCTCCATTCCACTGGAGATTTTCGAGAATGGGGGAGGATGGATGTAGAGGCAAGATAAGAGAATTGAAAGAGAAGATTTTTCAAAGTACACATACGATGCCATGCCTTTTCCCCAGAGGTTATGATATGTCTTGCCTGGGGTGAGGCTAGGATCCAAGGAGATGTACACTTTGGATAAAATCCTCCAATCTTCTAATAGTCCCCTTCCTCATATGAAAAACAACTGCTTGGGACTTCCCTGGTGGTCCAGTGTTTAAGAATCTGCCTGCCAATGCAGGGGACACAGGTTCAGTCCCTGGCCCGGGAAGATTCTACATGCCACGGAGCAAGTAAGCCTGTGCGCCACAACTACGGAGCCCGCTTGCCCTTGGGCTTGTCCTCTGCAACAAAGGAAGCTACCACCATAAGAATCGCGTGCACCACAACTAGAGAAAGCCTGCGCACAGCAACCAAGATCCAGGGCAATCAAATTAATCAGCTAATTTTTAAAAACTGCTTGTTATTACAGTATTTTTCTAAATAGTCACTGTTGGCCATGAGCCAGGGAGCAGAAAAAAATGGAAGGCCTTCAGAGAAGTAGGAGAATCAAGGTAGTCACGTCCCTGTTTTAACTTGAGCTGTGCAAAAGAAGGGGTGGTAGTAAGGGGATTAAAATCCCCCAAAGGTTTTGGCTTGGAGCTGGATGCTGTAATGAACAACATTTTGGGATCTGTGTATGGAAGTTACTGTTAGGAAGGGATGTTTGTGTAAATGTATACTGATGGTAGGATGTATGCATAGGGCAGCCTGGCAATCATTACCTTTTCCCTGAGTCCTCTAGGAAATCCCCTTCCACGCTGGATGAAGTATAATAGGAATGTATTCAGGGACCCTGACAGCTGAAGCCAAGGTAAGCAGTATGAGCCAACTGAACAATCCCTGGAATCTGAAATCTCCAGTAAAGTGGCCAAAAGACCACAGACAGCTTTGGGTCCTTCATTCTGATCCCATCACTTACGTTCTGAGACCATTCCTGTTGCTCTCTGTAGTGCCTCAGTGCCTACCTGCTTCCTAGGCTGGTTACAGTGAGTTCCCCAATGCTTATGTTAGTTTCTGTGGCTTGCAGTTAAGAATCCTAAATGATATCTGTGTGTGTTTAGTCACTCAGTCATGTCCGAATCTTTGTAACCTCATGGACTGTAGCCTGCCAGGCTCCTCTGTCCATGGGGTTTCTCCAGGCAAGTGGGTTGCCACGCCCTCCTCAAGGGGATCTTTCCAACTCAGGGATCGAACCCAGGTCTCCCACGTTGCAGGCGGATTGTCTACCATCTGAGCCACCAGGGAAGCCCAAATGGTATCTAAATGATTGAAAATAATATGTGGCAACCAAGATAAGATGAAAAAAGCTGGTTCTGCTTTTGGCATAGGACTTGGAGAGAAAGCAATGACTGGGATGACCAAAAGTGGTCCCAACTTGGCAGAAGCCTCAGGATTAAAGGAGTCTAGGGCTGGAGGCTTCATATGGAGACAACAGTTGATGACAGTCAGTGAAACCAGAGAACCACAGCCACTATGGAATAAGAGGTGCTAAGTGAATAGGAGGTTCACAGGGACAGATAGTAAGTGAGCTTAGAGAAGAGCTGGAGAAGCAACAATCTGAATGATGGTGGCTGTGTTTTATTTCATCATCATCTTTTTAAGGCGGATGAACGTATGACTAAAATAGGATGGTCAAATAAACTGGGGCTTCATGACTCAATGAAATATCATCATCATGAATAATACAGAGCAATGCGAAAAGAGTCCTGTAATATAATACTAAGTGAAAAATGCCAAATACAAACTTGTAACTATACTGTGATTATAAAACTGTAAAGATTCTGTAGGCATATGAACAAAGCCTGGAAGGGGACATGGAAAAATGAAAACATACGATCTGTTACTCAAGCTGGACCCAGGGTAAGTTTTCTTGTAATTTAAAAAAGTTCAGTCATGGTTATAATATTGCTTGCTCAATAAATAAAAATAAATAGATTAAATGGAGAAAGATTCAGAACAGACTGCTGGGGGATGGGGAGAGGTATGGAATAAACCAAGTGTTGGTGGAAGTCCTCCTCACAGAAAGCCCTGGGAATTTCTCATTGCCACCAGTATATCCATAACTAGGAACAGTTCTGAATGTTTTCAGTGTATTTGGTTTCGGTACTAATGTGAAATCATGTAAGATTTCACTAGTTTCTAATTTTCTTTCTACAAAATTAAACCCACCATCTGTTCTTCATAGAAAGGGAGTCACATGTAAAGTCTGACATTCTAAAGTCTTGTTCTAGAAGAGACCGGAGAATAAGCCTTTGGTTTTAGCCACATAACCAAATCAACACCCTAAAGCAAACATGACAAAAATACACCTTGGAGTTTCATCCCAGCGAGCAA